TCTCACTCTCTCTCGTTTTTCAGTCTCTCTCTCATCTCATCAGGCTCTCACTCTCTCGTTTTTTATCTGGACCGATCAACCTTGCAAGAGATCGACTTTCTCTCATCGCAAGATCAACCGATCGATCTCACTATCTTATCGCCCTAATCGACCTCGTAAGATCGAATCTTTCTCCAATAACTCTTAGGTATGCGTCTCTCTCTCTCTTTCTCTCTCTCCCCGATCTCTAATTTTTTTGTGGGCATTCAGATCTGTGTCTCTCTGACTCTGTTTTTTTTATTTTTTTATTTTTATTTTTTTGTTCATCAAATGAATCAATGGCTACTGTGTAAATTCTTGATCTAGGAAGAAAGAGAGGCTCTGAAGTGTTGTTAGGTCTGTAAAAACATGAATCTTGAGATTGTGATTTTCATACACTGTAAAAACATGAATCCTCTGATACTGGTTCTGGCTATAGCTGCTGGAAGCAGACATCTATAATTCCAAATCTTGAATTTGAATACTCTGATACTGATATTCATGAAGATTTTTATAAGCTTATTAAAATAAGAAGAATATTTCTTATTAACGGTTTCTTGAAGCCTGAATTCCAGTGTATTTGCTTATTTTCTTGTGGTTTCTGGGTAACCAAACAGACCATGGATAAGTTTAGGAGATGTTATTTGATTGGTCAGTAAAAAGGTGCTGAAGAAGTAATGTCATTTTTATTAGTTTCTTGAACATGATGGCGCATGCTTGTTATTCAAAACCAACTAAAAATAAATATATAAATAAATGAAAAAAAATAATTTTTTTGGCCTTTATTTTCTTTTGTTTATTATCTTTAGATTTTGATTTTGCCTGCAATTTGAGTCCAATTTGTTTCTAAATGTGTTTACTTTTTCCTTATCTATTATATGTTGGAAAGCCTAAGGGAATTTGATTTGTTCCCTTGCTTTGTTTGATTTCAGAAAACAGATTGGGAAAAGAAATTGAAAATTCGAATTTAAGATTTCCTCATTATTGAAGACCTTAGATAAAAGGGTGCTGAAGAAGTAATGTCATTTTTATTAGTTTCTTGAAAATGATGGCGCATGCTTGTTATTCAAAACCAACTAAAAATAAATATATAAATAAATGAAAAAAAAAATTTTTGGCCTTTATTTTCTTTTGTTTATTATCTTTAGATTTTGATTTTGCCTGCAATTTGAGTCCAATTTGTTTCTAAATGTGTTTACTTTTTCCTTATCTATTATATGTTGGAAAGCCTAAGGGAATTTGTTCCCTTGCTTTGTTTGATTTCAGAAAACAGATTGGGAAAAGAAATTGAAAATTCGAATTTAAGATTTCCTCATTATTTAAGACCTTAGAAAACCTCAATCCTCTCTCAAATAAGCCTAATGGTAATCTGTTATATAGCTAAGTATTTTAACTGAACATAACTAAATAGAACCTATAATGCAAAATTTCCTTTTCACTTATTCTCTCTAATTTCCACGGAGAGATTATGAAACTGATTTTGTGTGTACACGCATTTATTTTTATTTTTCTAATTTTTTAAAAGTATTTCCTTGACCAACTTCAATCCAAGACAGTGAAACTTCAGCCTAGGATCATCAACTCTCAGGTAAAGACTCTCTCTTTAAAGGAAAAATCCAAACTGCAAACCGCCTGCACATCTGCAAACCCTACCCGCACAAACCGCAAACCGCACTGCAGGCGGTTGCGGTTTGACTTTTTCCCAAACCACTTAGGTGCGGGCGGGTCAAAACCGAACCGCAAACAGCACAAATCCGATCCGCGAACACCCCTACAACATGATATCAACAAAATCCTTGGTTTGTTGTCCTATGTCCTTGGAGATGGATTGTTTTTTGAGGACATGTTCATCAATGATCTTCTCAAAGAATTCATCAAAGACCTTGCTAAGAGCCTTCATTTTCCGATTTAGTCCCTGTAGGTCAAGTGCTCCCACATATGGGAAGTAATCCCCAATGTTAGGCTTCGCTCCCAACTGCATTCCCTCTTGAATCACCGTTTTGAAACCCCTCTCATCAAACTCCTTATCCTTGTACTTCTTCCCAAACACCATCCGACAACTCACAGCCGCACTCATCGATGAAACCTGCACATAATTTTTATATAGAATTTAAGATAAGAATAAAGTTGCAATAATATTTTTTTAAATATAAATGATTTTTACTGTTATTACATTTTAGTCTCTAATTTTTCTAATTTTGCAATAATCAAGAGATTTTAGGCATACCTTTACACTAAGATCAACTGGTACACGATTGTGAGCCGCCTGCTCAATGAACTTAACCAAAAGACTGAGCTCCTCCTTCCTCATCGACTGAAAAGAAGTGATTTTAAGGTTACTAAGCAACTCTAAGGTACACAATTTAAAGGACATGTTCCTTTGCTCATAAGATATGTACTTGGAAGCCTTATGGGGTGGTCTACTAGCAAAAACAAGGCCATGAGTCTTCAAAAACTGCTTGGCCGCCTCAGGCTATGACAGGACGATGTTTGGAACGAACTTGAATCGCATGTACATGATTGGGCCATGTTTCTTGGCCAGTTGGTGTAAGTCTAGGTGGGGTGACTTGGCTAGCAAGTGAAGCTGACCTAGAATTGGGAGTAGTTTGCGACCAAGTGGCAATTTTTTGTGTTGTTGCTTTTGAGGTAGGTTTGGAGGAGATAGTAAGCAAGTGCAAAGAATGTGAGTAGGGTTGTCTATGTCCAAGCCATAGGAGATCACTATTGCTTGTGTTGCGTTCAACGGTGGTTTGAGTGATTAGGGTTTGGTTTTGTAATGTTTTAGTTTAGAGGAATGATATGGTTCTCTCTTTTTTATAAAAATCAAAATGTGACAAAGCAGAGAAAACAACTTGGATAAGTTCGACTATTACAAATGATGCCAATATTAAATGTCAAATTATTGGTGACTCATAAAGATGAGAGTTTCCATATAACTGACAGCACATATTGTAACAACCTCGATCTGTAATTAGCTGATAATCCTTAATTAAGAATGCCTAACAAGTAATTAAGGAGAAATTATGAGTTAATTGTGCATTATTTACATGTTTTGTGTTTATATCTGTCTGCTGTAGGAACATCTGTTTAGAATTCTGCTTTGCCCTATTAGTTGAAGGCCTTATCGGCATCTAAACATGAAATTGTCTACGCGTACGTGTTATTTAGAATTTTTAGAATTTTATGGTAAGTTTAATTGAAATTCGATTCGGAATCAAATAATTAGAATAAATAATTACAATTTGATTAGGCTAAGCTAGATTGATTAGTGAAGCTTATATAAGGCCATTTATTACTCATCAAACTTATTCTACACTCCTTTTCTTTGAGCAAAAACGTGAAAGAGAGAGAGAGAGAAATAATTGGAGACTGTATTCAAGCTTGGTAGAGGAGAATTGGAGGGAACTGGGGAGAAATTGTAGGAAATTGACTTGGAAGCTCAAAGACAAAGTAATCTAGAACTCAATTGAAGGATTATGTAAGAAAACCAACTCTTAAATTATGAGTTTGAGCTACTAAGTATAAGAAATCAAGAGAATTAGAAGAATGAGCAAGAGAATGAAGCTTAGGAAGTAGAAAAGTGGATCATTCCAAGCATGTATGCATAATTAATGGATTATGAGTTTCATTTTCACTCAATTCTTACATGCAAGTGCATATATTTGCTATCTCTTGGGAGTTCACCATGCTTTTACCTAAAACACTTCAGTTATGCATGTTTTGGAAGCTTTGAATTTACTAATTACATGTATGTTATATATATACATTTCAAGTTTTGTTTTGGGCAATTCACATGCTTTTGGGCTTTGATTTTTCTAAATAACTTTCAATTCATGAAGTTCTATGAGTTTACAAGTGCTTTCCTAAGTTTTGGCCCAAAATAATATAATTTTGTGCTTTGGAAATGGATTTTGAATTTGGAACTGAAATCTGTAAATTCCAGATTCTACATCTTCGCTCGAGCGACCACCCTTTGTCTTGAACCTTGGCTCGAGCGACCAAAAGTTGGCTCGAGTATAAAATGCAAACTCCCAGTACTTTTGTAGACATGAGCCTTGGCTCGAGCGATAGAACCTGCGCTCGAGCGACTACCTTTTATTTTCAGTACTTGGCTCGAGCGACCGTCAAACGTGAAAATTGAACATCCAGTACTTTTGTAGACTTTGCAAGCCGCTCGAGCGATAGAAGTTGCGCTCGAGCGAACTGCACTGTTTTTCAAAAGTTGGCTAAGTGTTTTAAAGTACAGTTTTGCATCCTCATTGCATCTTAAGCATTCTTAGGCCATGTTTAAGTTATAATAATGAGGATAAGAATTAGAAACACATGCTAAGAAAGAAGAATGATAGTTAAACACCTTTGAGACTTGTGTCCAATGTGTATCTGTCACATGTTTGTGTAGGTCATGTGTTACTGCTCGCTTGATCAGTCTGTTCTGTTCAAGTGATCTGTTCTGTTCTTGGAGCTATTTGTGAGTAACAACTCTGTAAAGCTATGTTTGGTTATAAGTATTTTCTAACTGATATGATATGATCTGTTTTTTGAAATGCTATTTTATGAAACATGAATGAATGTCTATTTTTCTTAAATGTATTTGTGGCATCCTTAGTTCACGTGGCTCTCGTTCGAGGAAAACAATACCATGACCTATGTTTATGTAGCCCTTACTCGGGGGTAAAAATACCGAGGCCTATATTCACGTAACCCTTACTTGGAGGATACAATACCATGGCTATATGTGCACAAAGATGTTGACCTTGTAGTGGTTGGTACCAACTATGCATGTGGATCTTATGACTAATTTGATTTGTTCGTTAATGGATGTACCACATATAACTGCTTATGAATTCTGTATAAGTATGTAAATCTGAATCTGTTTCTGATATGAATTCTGATTTCTAAATCTGTGATGGACATCATTCGTAAACCCTTTACTCTATTGTTATTCACTGGGCTCCAGCTTACTGTATTATTTATGTATGTAGGTAATCAGGCGTGTGACCAGACCTAAGCTGCTGCCTGAAGTTCTATTTTGGTTAGCCAATCACCGTGCCTCCCGATGAGGTTCTCGAATTAAGAAGTGGTCAAGTTTGGTGAACCATGTTTAAGACTTTTGTTTTGTTTGAACAAGTTTCTGTACTGTCTGTGTATTGGGCTAAGACCCATTTTGGTTTATCTGTATGTAAGTTGACATCATATATGTAAATTTAAGTTTGAAATTTTTTGTCCCATGTATGTCTATACAGCTCTATGAATATTGTGTTTAAATAATTGCTTCCGCTAGCCTGTTAATTTTACTTACCTGTTCAGAGGCTTTCAGTAATCCCAAGATTACTGGCTGATTACGATGCTAAACCTATAGGGGCGGGTTTAGATCGTGACATATATGTTGGATCTTCTGTTCGGGATAAGGGTGAGAATTCATATTCGGAAAGAGAATCCCTTGCTGCAACACATATAGAGGCACTAAAATTGAGTCAAGAATCTTTTATCCCTAAATTCTTTTGTTTTTCTGTTCTAAATAACTAACAATTATTGAATCATGTGAGTTTTAAAGTACAAGATTCTCGTAGCATAATTTAAGAGTTGTGTGTTTTGGCATAAAAAAATAGAATAATATTTGGGACAAAAGATATTGTGTTAAGAATTAGGATTATTTGTGTTGATGCCTATCTCATGAAGAATATTCGTTTATGATTTGTCGATTGAAATCATAAACTATTTTCAAAGAATAATCTTGACCACATTTGTTTTTATTATTATTATTTCTGTCGACAAGCATGTTAACGTGACATGACAGATATGTTAAAGACGTGACATGGTGACATATTAAATGGAGGGCTAGAAAGTTAGCAATTGTAACAATTTGAAAGTTAGTTATTGAAATCAAGGAATTAAGATCAAATCAAGTACCAAATTTGCAAAATGGTTCTTTTCAAACATGAGATATGGATAATGTTGAGGAAATCATGGGTGTGTTTAGGAAATCATGGGCTTAGGTTATCTTTTTCTCTTATGTGGCTGAGCCTATAAATAAGCCAATAGAGATACAAAGAGGCATCAATCAATCAATCATCTCAACCGTCATTCACAAAACGTGATATTTATCCAGGAGTAGTTTACTTAGTATTTGTCAATAGTATATTAGTAATAGCTTTTTCCAACCTCCATATCTCTTTTTTTCTATTGATTGCTGTATTTGTTTTTTTTTTTATTCTTGTTTGAGTTCTTATAATTGATAGCAAGTGACAATTTAATTGAATAAACACATTTTTTTTTTTGTTCAAATCATTCTTTACTTAATTACCTCCAAAGAAGTCTTTAATCTGTTTAAGGCATAGAATTCAATCACAAAACCTAATCTTTTTGTATTTATTAAAATTTATTTAAGTCTGTCGATCAATCATTGTCAATTGATCCTAAATCAAATTTTTGCTAACACTTTTATTCACATTTTTTCTTTTTCTTTCTCATTACAAATTTCTCTAAAAATTTATAAACCAAATACAGTCATAATGTATTAAACATGGTGGTTTTTTTTAAAAAAATTAATTTTTATGATTTTTACTCTCCAAAAAAAAAAAAAAAGAGTTCATTTGATTTAGTTTTAAAATTATGATTTAAGTGTGGAGTTGTATTTTGAGTTTTAAGTTTTTGAATCATAATTTTAAAAGAGAAAATTTATTTGGTTATGAGTTTTGAAAATAATTTTGGGATAATTTATTTTTTTTATTTTTTTGAGTGATTAATATATATAATGTGAGAGAATGTGAGATGAGAGGAGAAATGAGAGTAAAAAAATGATCGATGGATTGATTAATAATAATTAAAAAAAGAAGAGGAATTTTGAAAATAGTTTTGTATTGTATTTTAAAAATATATTTAGTTAATATGTTACATCCAAATCATGATTTAAAAAGAGTGAAATTTTAAAAAATAAACCAAATGCTACTGAAGTATTTTTTTAAAGAGATTTGGTCAAAACTTCCTCATAATAAAATTTTAATGCATTAAGGATAAGCACACAAAATTTTCCTTGTAAAATCTAACAAATATCACAATTATCAAAATATTAAACTTTAAAATAATACAACTTTTGATGTAGATGTCGATTTTTAATAAAATTAATATTTTTAGAATTCTCTTATTAAGATCTACCAAATAAGATCTATATTGATTATGAATTTTTTTTTTTTTTAAAATTATTATTATTGAAATTGATGTAAATAGTAACAGTAACATATTACTCTGTTTGACAATTATTCTATTTAACTCGATTTGACAGTAATATGGTACTCTATTTTTCGATAATATATTACTCTATTTGATAATTACTCTATGTTATTCTATTTAACAATAATATGATATTCTGATTTACACTATTTAACAATAATATGATATTCTGATTTACAATAATATATTATTTTGATAATATTATCGAAGAAAAAAAAAAATTTACTTTATCCGTTTTAAAAATACGATTTGAGAGGAAAATAACTTGGCCCGCAACGCAGTGCAACAAACGTTGCTAAAATTTTCCTTGTCTTTGCCAAACGGACAGAGCCCTAGCTGCTCAGTCTCTCTCTCTCACACACACAGAGACTTGTGCAACACAGATGCGATGCGAACTCTCATTGCCCACCTTTCTCTCTCCCCTTTCCCTTTCAACACTCTCTACTCCAAACCCATCATCATCAGACCTTCCTTCCTCTGTTTCTTCTCTTCTTCTTCTTCTTCTTCTCCTCCTCCTCTGCTTCAGACTCGCTCCACCACGACAACATCAACTCCCATCTCAAACCCCATCTTGTACAAATACCTCATCAAAACTTTCTCATTCTCTGAATCCCAAGCGCTCTCTATGTCTAAGCGCTTCCCACAGATCAAACCCCTCAAAACCCTCGAAAAATCAAAATCCGTTGTCCAATTTCTCGAACAACTCGGTTTCTCCAATACCCAAATTAGATCCTCCATCCATGGCTCTCCCCAAATCCTCTTCTCCAACGTCGACAGGACTCTCAAGCCCAAGCTTCAGTTTTTTCAAGATCTGGGTCTCTCTGGTTTTGATCTGGGTAAGTTCATGTCTAAGAATTCTACGCTTTTGACTCGCAGTCTAGACAAAAAATTGATTCCTTGTATTGATGTCATCAAGAAAATTCTTGTGAATGATAAGAGCAATCAGGATTTGATTCGGGTTATGCGGAGGTGCAATTGGGTGGTTACCCTCAGAGAACCCCAAGAGAGGTTGCTCCGTAACGTTGCGTTCTTGGAGAGCTGTGGGATTGTTGGGTCTCAGCTCTCGATGCTCTTGACGAGGCAGCCTCGCCTTTTTGTTTTACCAGAATCCAAGCTTAGAGACCTCGTTTTGAGGGTTTTAGATATGGGTTTTTCGATTGAGTCGAGAATGTTGGTTCATGCTTTGTACACTGTTAGTTGTATGACTGGTGAGACTTTTAATAGGAAGTTGGAATTGTTTCGGAGTTTTGGGTTTTCGGAGAGTGAGTGTATGGAAATGTTTAGGAGGACTCCGGGTTTACTTAGGACTTCAGAAGATAAGTTGAGGGTTGGGATTGAGTTCTTCTTGAATGATATTAAGTTTGAAAGGTCTGTGTTAGTTCATCGACCAAATTGTTTGATGCACAGTATGGAGGAGAGAGTAATCCCTCGATACAGAGTTTTACAAGCTATGAAATCCAAGGGGCTGTTGAAGAAGATGCCAAGTTTAATTCATGTTTTGAGTTTGACGGAGGAGGAGTTTCTAGCAAAATTTATATCGAAATTTAGGGATGATGCAGAGGAATTGTTGGTGGCTTACAAGGGTCATCTTTTGGATTCTTCAGAGGAATAAGAATTGTGAACCTTTATTTTATTGCCATTGTTGGCAGTGATGACCGGTTCTGAGATCAATGTTTTATCTTTGGTTTAGTGTTTTGCCATAAACCTCCCTTTGGGAGCCATGGCAGCTTGGGAATCAAATCTGGAAACTTAATTGTGGTTTTGGTCTGTTTAGCGTTGGCAACTTCTTGCTCTATGATATGCAGAGTCGTAGATTGGTTTTCTTTAATGTGATAGCATGGTTTAAGAACCTTCGGCAATTAGGGTGCCCTGTGTTGAGCCAGTCCTGATATTCAAGACGATTGACCAGCTGTTTGGTTGGAAATGGTGGAGACCGGAAAGAGACAGGAAGAATGACTGCTTGGGATTCTTATTTGCTGAAGAGTGATCTCTATTCCAGATGAAGATAATGAACATCCAGAAATGCCAGGTTTGTTCAAGTAAAGAATTGAAGTGAATATGGAAGCTAGTTACCCTGTTGCAGCTAGTATTTGAATTTTTTGAATAACACTGTAGATTTTATTGTTTTTCATCATTGGATTAGAAATTTGTGTTAGTAGTGTTTTTTTATTTACTAATGATAGTATCTGTTCATATATTCATACCGAGTCATTTGGTATTCAGGAAAATGAATAGCCTTTACTCCAGTAGTGTTGGCTAGTTGAATATATAGACCTTTTCATGTGATTTTAAATTGAACTATCTCAAAGAGAAAAACTTGGTAGCATTTGGTGGAATTTTTTAAATATGATTTGAGAATAGAATTGTATTTTGAGTTTGTGAGTTTTGGAATTATGATTTGAGTGTGGAAAATGTTGGGCAATCTTCACTGTATTTAAATAGATTAAATTCTGTTGTGTATAAAACAACAACAAGAATAAAAGAAATAGATAAAAGGAGAGAATTTGTTTGATTACAAAAATCAAACTCGAAATAATAATAAATAAATAAAACCACAGATTTTATTTTGTTACAAAAACAAAAAATAAAATCTGATTAAATAAACAAATAAAAAACAGAATAAAATTAAACAACTTACTTGGTTAATTTATTTGAATAATTTTTCTGATCAAGTCCAGTGTTTAACATTGTGTCCGTAAGACAGATTCGTCCTCTCCACGGTACTTTCAGAATTTGGACGTCTATCTCCCAGGATGAAATGATCTTACCACAAACAATAGTAGCACTACAAATTGTTTGCCTTGCGAACACACTAAGTGTTTACACTATTTCTTTCGGAAATAAAATGCAGCAAGATGAAGAATATAATTTGCAGAGGATGGAGTACGAAAAATCTGAGTAAAATCCAAATGGGAGGCTAGTCTATTTATAGATGTTAAGGTGGCTTTTCGTTTTGAATTGAACAGGTATGAAACCTGTTAGATTCAAATTTAAACAGATTTGAATCTGTTTATTCAGATAGAAACGGGAAGGGCCCTGTTTGGATGAACAATAAATCCAAAACAGTTTAATTCTGTTTGAAAACGGGAAGGGCTCTGTTTGGATGAGCACTAAATCTAAAACAGTTTAATTCTGTTTGAAAACGGGAAGGGCCCTGTTTGGATAAACAATAAATCCAAACCAGTTTAATTTGAATTCTGGATTTTATTTTAATAAAAAATAAAATTAAATTCAAATGTTTTTGGCCCAAAAAGATTAGAAGCCCAACCCAACCACACACCATGCACCCGCGCCCAAGCCCAGCCCCGCCTGACCGACCGGACGGCGGCGCACGCGCGTGGTGATTTTTGGATCCAATGGGTCTAGCTCATTTTGCCCATAACCTCTCCCTCTAAAACACTTGGGTACCCCTTGGGGCACACCCCAAGTATCTCACCCTAAGCCTTATAAACCCTTTCAAAACTTCCCACCAAATCAATGTGGGACAAGCCAATTTACAACCTTAAGGAATTTCCACCAAAATTCCATTTCCATGGAGCACACTTTGGCTTCAATTTCCCATTCATTCGGTAATGGTTTTGATCAACCAAATATACCACGTGAATCACAACGCAGCATAGAACGCGTTACCACTTTGACCCGAGTAAATCGACACTCGGGGCCCACCTAAAAAATAGACCAAACTTGAGGAAAAATTCTGGTTTTATCCCGAATTTTTTCCACCATTTCCAACAGAAAATTTGTTTGGTGAATGAGTTTTGAATTGAGTGGGGAATTTTTGATGTGACATATGATATCTGATACAAAAATTTATAACTTATAACCAAACACACAACTCAAAAATCTATTAAAAGCTCATAAAAAGTTTTAAAAATTTCCGAAAATATTGTTTTATTAAAAAAGTAAAAATAAAAATAAAAAAAAGGTGCCAATTGTAAAAAAATATATTGTCATGTTTCAGTTGATCGGCTGGACTACCGGTGAAGTCAAATTTAAAAAAAAAAGTTTCACTTGATATAGAGTTTTCTTTTTGTTGTAGAAATATAATTTGAAAGATGTATCTAAACATGACATTAGAAAGTGAAGGTTGAATTATAATTTGAAAATCTATCCAAACACATTTCAGAAGTTCCTCAAACACACTCCCAGATCAATACATGACGAAACCAAACCATTAGTTGAAATTATGCAAGAACTGGATGGATTTCAGTACAGTTAAAGTGGCTGCATTGTGTATGTTGCTAAACACAATATCATGAGTGATGGGATGAAATCTATTCTCATCATTCATAAGCTCTGTAACAAAAAGAGAAACCAGACAACCTAGAAAAGATTTTTGAAAACATATTACTCATGTACAAAAATCTTAGGAAATCTTTTTGGTTATTAGATTTTTGACTTACATGAGCTTTGAAATGTGTTTAGGCTTGGTTTATTTGTATAACGAGTTGATCTTAAATAAATTTTTAATGAGTTGAATATAAGTAATTTTTTTTTAGCAGCCTTTTGCAATCGGTCCCTTATGTATTCTCTGTTCTCTACCTTCCAATTCTTCTCAGCTTTGTATGGCCATTATTGCATCCGGGCTTGTGGTGTGAAGTTACATTGTCTACACTGGGCCAAGCAAGGCCATCTCAGTTTGGGAGTTTTTTTACGGCTGCTTTCACTTTAGAATCGATTATTGGAATTCCGTGTGATTATCCCTAATATTTACTAAAGGTTTTAAATTCTTTTTAATTATCCATAATATTTACTTATCTCTCTACAAATACAAAGTTTTAAATAGCGATATCAAGGGCTAAATTAGTATCGACCAGAGTGTTATGATATCAAGAGTACTGAAAAACAAGAGTAACAGAAGTACTTTGGGGGTGTTTGGTGAGATTTTTTTGAGCCAACTTATGACTTTTGGCTTTTAAAAAGTTATTTTGGACTGTTTGGTTATTTTAGACTGTTTGGTTGAACTTATTTCAAACAGCTTTTGATTCTAATAATTTATTTTTAGTCAAAAAAATTGATTCTGAGAAGCTGCTCACCCTTTGCTTCTGATTATCAGCTTCTGTTGTGGACATGTTAATTCACAGTTATACTCTTAGATTTTTATTTTTTTTTATTTTTTAAAAAATAGAAAAAAACACAAATGGACTATAAAATATTATTATTGTTTTTTTATAAGAAATGTAGACAAATAGTGAATAATAAAAAATAAAAGTTAATTGAAAAAATTACTTCACAACTTAGTTAACAAACACTACTCAGCAACTTAAACCTTTAATCCAATAATTATACCAAACAGATTAACAGTTTCTAATTAAAGTCATAATCTAAAATCTATTAAGTTATAATTTATAATCCGTTTTAACAGCTACACCAAACAAGACCTTGGTGCCACAATTTACAATGGGCAAACGACAAGTTTTGGCTTTTTTAATGGTTTTATATTTTATTTTGGGTAAATTATAATTTAACCGCATGTGGTTTACCCAAAAAACACGAAACCCCTTTATAGTTTCATTTGTAACACTTAAACCCCTAGACTTTATACCATGTTGTAATTTTTGACGTAACAGAAGTGCACAAAATGACGTCGTTTTCAATACTGCCAGATAAAAAATAAAATAAAATAAAGAAAAAACAAGAAAGGAAGAGAGAGAAAGTTTGAATTTGACATTAAAATCATATCAAGAGCAAGCACAAGCATGGAGCAGCAAACATGCAAATGATGGTTAAGATAGCGACATTCTTCATCATCATCATCCCCTTACAGTTCCTTGAAACTCTGACGTAGTTGAAGTGAAGGAAGCTCGGGTCTGGAGTGAGGTCGAGAAGCCTACTCTTATGAGACGGAGAGTTTAGAGAGAGAAAGATATATGTGTTGATCATTACCATCAAACCAGCGAGCAAAACAACTTGTGTGTTGTGTCCATCTATGTTTGTTTTGTTTTCAGCTTCAAAATTGCCCCCCTGCCCATGCACACCGAGACCCACCCTCTCTCTAAACAAAATATATCTTTTACCACGTCACTCTCAACACCACTCCAGTCCAGAGAGAGAGAGTGTGTGTTGTGTTTTCTCCTCACTTCATGGCTTTGAAACTCTCTGTCTTAGAGATGGGTTCGTTGGTTGGTTTTTCTTGTCAGCCAGTGGGTAGAGATAGCAAGTGTATGCGTGTATCTGTCTGTGACAGGAGAGAGAGAGAGGGATTGGTTTGGTGTTGCTGTGTGTGTGTGTATGTGTGTGTGTGTGTGTGAGTCTCTCACTTGTTCTCTACCCGTCACATGGCCTTGTGCTGGGAGGGGAAAAATGAGTATCTATGGTGGTGTGAGTGTTTCTTTTTCCCCACTCCACCCCTACTACTGAGAGAGAGAGAGTGTGTGTGTGTGTTCTGTGTATATGTGCTGTGTGCCCTCTCTGTTTGGGTCCAGGAAGAAAGCGTAGTAGATCGAGAGATTGAGCTTGTCCACTCATGTTGAAGCTCCAACCTTGTATATAATGACAGCTCGCTAGCAGACTTATTGAAGCAGAGAAGCTACATACATAGTGTCTTCAAAAATCGGAGACAGATCGATCTGAAATGTCAAAATTGAAGAAGTGGGTTTTGTCGAAGAGAGTGAAAGCGAGACATTCAATTCGTTTTTGGCAGAATTGTAGTCGATCCATCCCTGAATCATTTTCCCACTCTTGAGATTGATTGATTGCATTGTCGAATTGCCTTGTACATAATACCCAACGCTCACCGAATCATTGGAGATCATGCCATTGATATCGATGCCGAGGTTGAAGGAAACCATTGTTGTGGATCTTTGCAACACCGTTTAGACTTATGTTGTTGTTGTTGTTGTTGGTAAAACCCTTGAAGCCATTGTAGACAAGCCATTGTTGAGCTGAGAAAGAACTAGGTTTGGTTGCAATCTCTCTCTCTAACTTTCACTCTCTCTCTCTCTCTCTCTCTCTCTCTCTCTCTCTTCCTTTCTTGTTTTTTCTTTATTTTATTTTATTTTTTATCAGGCAATACACAAAACGATGTCGTTTTGTGCACTTCTGTTACGTCCGTCAAAAATTACAACATGGTATAAAGTCTAGGGGTTTAAGTGTTGTAAATGAAACTATAAGGGGGTTCCATATTTTTGGAATAAACCACAAGGTGTTAAATTATAATTTACCCTTTTATTTTCATTTAGAGATTTTTATTTTTTATTTTTTTCTATACTTTAAAGTTCTACTCAACTACACACTAGGAAAGTGGGGGAAAAAATTAGAAAAAAGTCCACTTTGTCTTTAGGGAACTTGTTTTTGGATTCTTTATATATATATATATATATATATTATTTTTTAGAATCTTTCAATAATGGATAGACTGGAAAAGTAAAAATAAAAATAAAAAAAACAAAAAAAATTGACATATAGTTGAAAAAATAAATCACTAAAAAAAATATTGGAAGAGATGTTTGTTTTTTTTTTTTTAAGTTGGTATGTTAGCAAATTTTTTTGTTTAGTTGGTATGTTAGCAAAGAAAATGAACCATGCTACGTCAAATTTGAAGCAGAACAGAAATTTGGTTGAGCTTGTGAGCCCAACAGAAATTACGTCAAATTTGAAGCAGAACAGAAATTTGGTTGAGTTTGTGAGCCCAACAGAAATTATTAACGAAAAAAAAAAATAGTAATACATAAATAAAACCTAAAATGGGATTATATTTGGTTGAGAAATTTGAGAAGAGATTTAAAAAGAAAAAGAAAAAGAAAAAAATAAAATATATCTATATTTCTTTAAATTTCATACACATTTTTCTTTTTCTTTTCAAATTTATTTTTAAATTCCTCACCCAAATATATCGTGAGTGTCTGTGTGTTTATTAAATATAACATGATATCAGATCACACTAGTACGAAATCTCTAATGAATAGATTGAGACTGATCTCATCTTTCATTTAACTCACCAGGTGGTCTTTATTCGTCGCATTAAAAACTACTCATTAATTGGATCGTAATATCCAACATCTACACGCACTTGATCATTTCTGAAGCCGATAAGTTGGAATAGCCAAGAGATGCTTAGCCCGGGCGGTAACGAGGCCGAACACCTCAGTCATGTCCAAGTCCTCCGGCGACATATTGTCTGGAAGCTCCCAATCAAAGCAATGCACCAACTGCGCCACTACCAACCGAACCACCACCAGCCCCATCTGCAGCCCAGGGCAACCTCTCCGCCCCGCCCCAAATGGCAGAAGCTGGAAATCCCTTCCCCGGAGATCAATACTACTCCCTTCAAACCTCTCCGGTAGAAATTTCTCGGGTTCGGTCCACGCATTTGGGTCTCTCCCAATTGCCCACACATTGATGGTGACACGTGCCTTTCGGGGTATGTGGTAGCCGTTGACGGTGCAGTCCTCGGTGGATTCGTGGGGGAGGAGTAGCGGCGCCACCGGGTGGAGCCGGAAGGCCTCCTTCACAACCATGTTTAGGTAGTCAAGGTGATCCAAGTCTGATTCCTCAACCATTCTGTCCAAGCCCACAACTTTTTCAAGTTCATTTTGGACTTTTTTCATGACCTGGGGATGCTTTAGGAGTTCAGAGAGTACCCACTCAATTGCTGTTGATGAAGTGTCCATTGAAGCTGCAAGCATGTCCTGCAAAACCAAATTATTAAGCATAATCCAAATGCGAAAATGTTTTTGTTTCCCCAAAATATGGCCACAATTTTTAAAATTTCTAAAATTCAAGGAAAAACACAAAAAGAGGAAGAAGGTGTTTTCACTAGAACAAGTTTTTGGTATGGAAATGACTTCTCTTCAGTTCAAGCAATATATTTGCGCCACTTTAGTGTCTTTTGTTGATCAAATGTTTAGATTTTGTTTACCCCCTTAAATGTTGGGTTGGATTTTTTGGTTGGATCTAATATTAGTTTGTAAATAGATTGACAAAATTCAAATTATTATTTTATAAAAAAAATTGCCAATGCAACGAGTATTTATGCTTCAATTGTACATCTCCTGAACTGGAGACAACCTAGACTATTTTGTTATTCTCTCTCTCTCTCTCTCTCTCTCTCTCTCTATAGTAACATCCACTGGCCACTGGCAACTTACCAAAGATTAAGACCCCCACACAAATTTTACCCTCACAATCCCCACATCAACTTATATGAGAGAGAAGAAAAAAATATAAACAAAAATATATATGGACCAATCACACACATTTGGGAGTCATGGGGTCCCCCAAATTAGTTGTCCCAAGCTTTTTCCCTTACGAAAAAGCATATTTCATATATATATTTGAAAATATACTCGTCTACTAGACGTTTTTAGTTTTTTATTTTTTCATGTAAATAAAAATAATGTAGAAAATAATGTTTATGCAAAAGAAATGTTATACTCAGCAATTGGAAAATAATATAGAAAATCAAGGCAGAATAATATTGCAATAGTTAATTTTATCACTTGTAAACAAATTTTAAAGAAAGTGAATCAAAATGACTTCAAATAGCTCTTTCATATTGAGATGTGAACACAATAGAAGTTTAATTTTTTTAAAAATATCATTGACACGTCATCATTATATATAAACAACAATGTCATAGACTACAAAATAAGTTTTCGTAGTTTCGAGATAATTTTCATAAAATATTTTTTGTGGCGTCTAACATTTTTTGATAAATGATGAATTACCAGCATAACAGCTTTGACATGGTTACGGTCGATCTGGAACTCAGCTTGTTGAGAGTCCATGTATGCCAACATGATATCAACAAAATCCTTGGTTTGTTGTCCTCTGTCCTTGGAGCTGGATTGTTTTTTGAGGACATGTTCATCAATGATCTTTTCAAAGAATTCATCAAAGACCTTGCTAAGAGCCTTCATTTTCCGATTTAGTCCCTGTAGGTCAAGTGCCCCCACATACGGGAAGTAATCCCCGATGTTAGGCTTCGCCGACAACTGCATTCCCTCTTGAATCACCGCTTTGAAACCCCTCTCATCAAACTCCTCATCCTCGTACTTCTTCCCAAACACCATCCGACAACTCACATCCGCATTCATCGATGAAACCTTCGCATAATTTTTATATAAAATTGAAGATAAGAATGATGTTGCAAGAATATTTTTTTAAATATAAATCATTTTTTCTGTTATTACATTTTAGTCTCTAATTTTTAAATTTTGCAATAATCAAGAGATTTTAGGCATACCTTCGCACTAAGATCAACTGGTACACGATTCTGAGCCGCTTGCTCAATGAACTTAACCAAAAGACTGAGCTCCTCCTTCCTCATCGACTGAAAAGAAGCGATTTTAAGGTTACTAAGCAACTCTAAGGTACACAATTTCCGCATATTTCGCCAAAAGGGACCATATGGTGCAAAGGACATGTTCCTTTGCTCATAAGATATGTACTTGGAAGCCTCATGGGGTGGCCTACTAGCAAAAACAAGGTCATGAGTCTTCAAAAACTGCTCCGCCGCCTCAGGCGATGACACGACGATGTTTGGGACGAACCCGAATCTCATGTACATGATTGGGCCATGTTTCTTAGCCAGTTGGTGTAGGTCTAGGTGGGGTGACTTGCCCAGCAAGTGAAGGTGACCCAGAATTGGGAGTGGTTTGGGACCTGGTGGCAATTTTTTTTGTTTGTTGCTTTTGAGGTAGGTTTGGAGGAGATAGTAAGCAAGTGCAAAGAATGTGAGTAGGGTTGTCCATGTCCAAGCCATATGAGATCACTATTGCTTGTGTTCAATGGTGGTTTGAGTGATAAGGGTTTGGTTTTGTAGCGTTTTAGTTGAGAGGAGTGATGTGGTCGTTTTTTTTTCTTTTTTTCTTTTTTTTTGAAATCAAAATGTGACAAAGCAGAGAAAACAAGCTTGAACTTCGATAAGATCGACTATTACAAATGATGGCAATATTAAATGCCAACTGTTGGTGACTCACAAAGATGAGAATTTCCACATAGCTGACCGCACATATGTTGGATCTTCTGTTTGGATCCACATCTGTCCCTAGCCATCTTTCTATTGTGGAATGGATTTTGACGACTTGAACGTATGGTGGAGAGGGCTTTTGAGATATGGGTGAGAATTCAGATTCAGAAAGAGAATTCCTTGCTACAACACATATAGAGGTACTAAAATTGAGTTAAGAATCTTTTATCTCTAAATTGTTTTGTTCTTCTGTACTAAATACTACAAGAAAAGTGGGTTTATGAGACGGAACTATTTGCGACGGCACACTTACCGTCTCAAAAAGTCACTTTTTGCAACGGCAGAAAATGCCGTCTCAAAAAAACAGAGGCCTTGTTTGGTTTGTTTTTTAGAAATTTTTTTGGGAAAAATTATCTACAAACAAATTTTCAAGAGTAATCATACCAAACAAATTTTTCCAAAAAACAATCTCAAAATTTTGTTTGATTACCTACTTTTCAAAATCACTCTCTCTCTCATACACATCAAATTAATCATTTTTTTTAAAATTCTCTCCCAAAACAATTTTCCAAAATTATTTTTGAAAAAAGGCAAACCAAACAAGTTTTCGTACTTTTTATCTCAAAAATTACTCTACAAACACAAACCAAACACACCCAGAGTATTTGCGACGACACCATTTGCCATATCAAAAAAGCAGAGCATTTGCGATGGCACTTTGCCGTCTCAAAAAATAAGAGCATTTGCGACGGTAATACTCTCATTTTTTGAGACGGTAAATAGTGTCGTCGCAAATGCTCTGCTTTTTTGAGACGGCAAATGGTGCCGTCGCAAATACTCTGTTTTTTTTAGATGGCATTTTCTACCGTCGCAAAAAGTGACTTTCATGTTTTTTTTTTGTTTTTGTTTTTAGTAAATATTTTTAAAATTTTAAATATTTTTTTTAGATGCACCTTACTTAGATGTATCTAAAAAAAAATATCAAAAAAATATTTTTAAAAATTAATAAATACATAAAAATACAAAAAAAAATGTATTGAATTATTGTATTTTTGGTATTTAGTGAATTTTTAAAAGATTTTTTTTACATTTTTTTAATTTTTAGGTGTATTTATGTTAGGTGTGTCTAAAAATTTTAAAAAAATACTTAAAATATTTAAAAAATTCAATAAAAACAATATAACATGGAAAACAAGAAAGTATAATCTTCTCAAAAGAGTTTTTGGAAAACTCTAATCTAGCATAGTGATTGTGGTTTTGAGACAGCTTCATATATATACAGTCACAAAATGGTTTGAATAAATGCAACGGTATTTTTCTGCCGCAAAAAAAATTAAAAAAAAAAAAACGATGTCGTCTTACTCTTTTGATATAACATTTCTCTTTTCATTCATTTTTTCATCTTCCTGTCTCTATCTCTCTCCCTTCTCTTTATCTCTTTCACTCATCACTCTTTTTTCTCTGTCTGTCTGTTTATCTCTCTTCTTTTCTCTTTGTGTCTCTCTCGTATCTCTCTTCTCTCTATCTCTCTCATCTGTCTTTCTCGCTCATTTCTCTTCTTTCTATTTCTCTCATTTCTTTGCTCTCTCTCTCTCTCTTATCTTTCTATCTCTCTCGCCCATCTCTCTTCTCTCTCTGTTTCTCTCTGTTTCTGTGTCTCTCTCTCGCTCATCTCTTTTCGCTCTATTTCTCTCTCATTTTGTCTATCTCTCGCTCATCTCTTGTTTCTTTCTCTCTCTCTCTCTATCTCCCTCTCCATGTCTCTCTCTCACTCTCACTCTCACTCTCACTCATCACTCTTCTCTTTCTCTCTCTCTCTCTGTCTATTTGTCTATTTCTTCCTCACTATGTTCGCCTTGCTCACTCTCTCCCTCTCATCTTCTCTATTTATCGAGTTCCTTCGCGATTTATCGATCCACTATAAGAAAATAAACTTTTAGCAACCACTTTGTCTCTCTCTCGCTTATCACTCTGTCTCTGTCTCTATCTCTCTTCTTTATCTGTCTCTCACAAAATTAAAATATTTTTAAAATATTTAAATATTTAAAAAATTGATTTGAATTAAGTTTTGAAAAGAGTTTTGAATTATGTGTTTGGTTATGAGTTTTGAAAAGTAATAATTATATTTTGAATTGAGTTTTGAAAAATGGATGAAAAATTATGATTTGAAAGCTCAAAATAAACACCATACGTAAATCAATGGGTGGAACTATGACCACCACCACTATCTCATTTTCTGTCTCTCACTCTCTATCTCTTTCTCTCTTTGTCTCTCTTTTCTCTCTCTCACTCATCACTCTTCTCTGTCTGTTAGTCTTTGTCTCTGTCTCTTTCTCTTTCTCTCTTTGTCTCTCGTTCGTCTCTCATCTCTCTCGCTTATTTCTCTTCTCTTTATCTCTCTATTTTTCTATGTCTTTCTATCGATCATCTCTTTTCGCTCTCTTTCTTTCTCTCTTTGTCTATCTCTCGCTCATCTCTTGTTTCTCTCAATTTTTTTGTCTGTCTCTCTCTCTCTTATCTCTTTCTCTCTCTGTCTCTCTCTCACTCATTGCTCTTCTCTCTCTCTCTCTTTCTCTCTTTGTGTCTGTTTGTCTGTCTCTCACTCCTCTTTTTCTCTCTCTCTCTCTCTCTTTCTCTATATGTGTCTATTTGTCTCTCTCCTTAATTTTGTTCACCTTGTTCACTCTCTCATTCCTCTTTTCTCTATTTACCGAGCTCTCCACTAGAAGAAAATACACTTTTAGCGACCACTTTGTCTCTCTCTCTTGCTCATCACTTTATCTCTCTCGCTCATCACTCTGTCTCTCTCTCTATCGAGTTCCTTCGCGATTTATCGATCCACTATAAGAAAATAAACTTTTAGCAACCACTTTGTCTCTCTCTCGCTTATCACTCTGTCTCTGTCTCTATCTCTCTTCTTTATCTGTCTCTCACAAAATTAAAATATTTTTAAAATATTTAAATATTTAAAAAATTGATTTGAATTAAGTTTTGAAAAGAGTTTTGAATTATGTGTTTGGTTATGAGTTTTGAAAAGTAATAATTATATTTTGAATTGAGTTTTGAAAAATGGATGAAAAATTATGATTTGAAAGCTCAAAACAAACACCATACGTAAATCAATGGGTGGAACTATGACCACCACCACTATCTCATTTTCTGTCTCTCACTCTCTATCTCTTTCTCTCTTTGTCTCTCTCTTCTCTTTCTCACTCATCACTCTTCTCTGTCTGTTAGTCTTTGTCTCTGTCTCTTTCTCTTTCTCTCTTTGTCTCTCGCTCGTCTCTCTATCTCTCTCATCTCTCATCTCTCTCGCTTATTTCTCTTCTCTTTATCTCTCTCTTTTTCTATGTCTTTCTATCGATCATCTCTTTTCGCTCTCTTTCTTTCTCTCTTTGTCTATCTCTCGCTCATCTCTTGTTTCTCTCTATTTTTTTGTCTGTCTCTCACTTATCTCTTTCTCTCTCTCTCTTATCTCTTTCTCTCTCTCTCTGTCTCTCTCTCACTCATTACTCTTCTCTCTCTCTCTTTCTCTCTTTGTGTCTGTTTGTCTGTCTCTCACTCCTCTTTCTCTCTCTCTCTCTCTCTTTCTCTATATGTGTCTATTTGTCTCTCTCCCTAATTTTGTTCACCTTGTTCACTCTCTCATTCCTCTTTTCTCTATTTACCGAGCTCTCCACTAGAAGAAAATACACTTTTAGCGACCACTTTGTCTCTCTCTCTTGCTCATCACTCTATTTCTCTCGCTCATCACTCTGTCTCTCTCTCTCTCTATCTCTCTTCTCTATCTGTCTTTCACTCATCTTTCTCTCACCACCCATCTCCTCTACCATCTTCACCACTACTGCAAATGCAATTCCACTACTACCACTACTACCACTGTTGCCACTCTACCTCTACGACTATCATTACTACCATCATCGGTACCACTCCGCTACCACCACTACTACTACCATTACCTCTCCTCCACCACCGCTACTCTATCTCCTCTACTACTACCATAACTTCACCACTAATCTCTTTCGCCATCACTACCACCACAACTATCACCTCTCTTCCACCACTTTCACCACTACTGCCACTCTCTATCCTCTACCACAAAAAATTAGTTCTTAATTTTTAATAACAAAAAAAAAAAGGATCGCAAAAAAATATTTTTCATTAACCACAAAAAATTAACTTTATTTTAATAGAAAATATTATCCGTACTTCTACCAAATAAAAAAAATAAAATTATTCATTAAAATAAATATGAAACAAATAAATTTTCAACCTTACTAAATGAAAAAAAAAAAAAAAAATCGTTAACTATAAAAAAAAAATTTATTTAATAAAAAATATTTTTTTTTTACGACGGCATCCTCTCTTGTGAAAAAAAAAAGAGCCAGTTTATTATTTAAATATTCATTTATAATGAAAATAAAAAAAAAAAAATTTCATTCCCGCTCCCCCTCTACCCTTTTTCCATTCCCGCTCGGGTTCCCCCCACTCCCAAACCCAAAATCCCCAATCTCAAAAATCCCTAATCTCTTCCCCCTCTCCTCCCTCCTGTATTCTGAAAATTAAATAATAAAAGAAGTTCTTAGTTTCTTCAATCTCTTCCCCCTCTCCTCCTCCCCTCCTTTTTTCCATTCCCGCTCGGGTTCCCCCCCACCCCAAACCCAAAATCCCTAATCTCTTGAACCAAAATCCCCAATCTCAAAAATCCCTAATCTCTTCTTACGTCTCTCTCTCTCTCTCTCTCTCTCTCTCTCTCTCCAGCGAGCGGCAGACCCTTCGAAGTTCCTCATTTCTTTTCTCTCCTTGCTGGGTTGTTCGAACGAGCTGGAAATGTGGAGATGGTTAAGGTATGAATTTACATTTTCGTCTATCTATGAAATATATATATGGGTTTAGGGTTTACTGAGATTTTAATTTTCTAGATAATGTTATTTGGACGTCAGTGGAAGAATCTTTGATGGCATGGCCATGCAAGCTCATCAGAGGGGAGGTGCATCTGGCAGTTTCATTTTGCCAGATGCTTGTTTTCTTCCTAGTAAAGGAGAGAGGTACGATATTTAGCATAGATAAGCTTCTGGACGCGTTCTGTTTTTGGGTAGTGGGTGCTGTCTTTTTTATCATATTGTTCGGGAGCACTGTACACTACATGCACTCTTAAATTTCTTTGGGAATTTACATTTTTATGAAGATCTAACCTTTATGCATACCTGTAAGTTCTGCGATGTGCTTCTGATGATTTAGTGCATAAGTTTCTACCTTCAAACTTAATGTTGAGCATGGTATGATGGAGCTTTCTACCACCATGATAGTGGAATGGCTCAGTTTATTTCCCATAGGCATTGCATGCTAGAATCCTTTCTTAAAAATGGGTAACAATGAAATATAAATTTCAAACATGCAAACCATGACATAAAAAGGACAAGGAAAGAAATTTCTATAGAATACATATGTCTATTCATTTGTATTGTAATAATTAATAATATAAGAGGACATTTCAAAACCATATTAATTATTATCTAACAAAATTATTAATTATGCACCAAGGAATGAAGTTAGTTTCTTAAAAGACTCTTGACTAACAGAGATTGTTATGTTATAGAATATTAATTATATAAGAGGCTCAATAATACATGGACTTTTGTCAATGCTATAAAAAAAAAAATTCTTTTCTAATTTTTGCATTTATCATTACATGTTACATGAATTAGATTGTAATTCAATACATCTCTTATATATTTGTAAACTAGGTCACGTCATGTGGTTAAAAAAACTAAATTCAAATGGCCACCAAAATATAGCACTGCAATCAAGTTTTCCAAGAATGTTACATGGGTTCAAGAGATAAATAAATTAAAATTAAAAAGAAGCACAAATGGTGTCATAGTAAGCTGTCAAACCCATACTATAATAGGACATTGCTCAATGTGGTGAAAGGTTGGGTTGACAAGCAAGATAAATGTGGGTTTCCAAAGGCTACAACTTTATGCCCAAAAGTTTTGCCAAAAAAATAAAGCAGAGTTTGAGCCTATATGCAATTAAGATGAATCAAAGGGAAAATCACTAGTTATAGTGGCATTCTTTATGTAAATGTGAGTGAGTGAGTGAGTGGATAATTTGAAAGATATGCCTAATATTTCATGACTAACAAGATGAAGGATCATAATGATATTTGTAATGAAGGCTCGGGAGGGTGATGTTGATGTTTATTTCTTTATTATTATTTTTTGCTTAAATTATTCAAACACTTCAATATGTCTTTCTGACAAGGAAACAATAATGAAAGTTTTTAAAATACACAAACCAACTTTATCAAAAGACACTAATACCGAAATGATTTACATTTTGGAATCTGTATTATGAAATATAGTACACTTTTGTTCCAAAACAGTGAATTTAGTTATTCAAAGCAATCTTAACATGTTTTTCTTTTTAGGAGAAAAAATTAAAATGTAAAAAAGTATGCCCAGTTGAATGGGCAATGGATCAGGAGGGGTAGATTGGAACAAACCTAACCTTTTGCATTATTTGCACTAAGTGGCCAAGTTTGAACCCCTGCCCCCCCTAAAATAAATCAAATGTAATAAATTAAAATCCTGAGAGTGGAGTTTTAATGGGATAAATTTAAGAAAATGGACTGTAATCGTACTAGAATTATGTTTTTGCCTAATTAATTTGAATAACAAAAGAGTACATTTTGTTGGATGCCTAAGTGTAAAGAAAAAATTGCTCTCATGCTTAGATATACTTAAATTTTAGTACATGTGGAATACCATGGTCATTTTCATATTTATCATGAATGAATGATTTGTGTATCAGGTAACATTGGTATAGAGATATGGTATTCATCAACAAGGTTGATCATGTTATTCTTGAAGTTGAGCTTGTTTCTTCATCTAATGAGTATTTTGGGTCACTTGTGGTCATTGGCTTTAGGAAACTCCCATAATTTAACATTTAGGTTGTGTTTGGATCTTTGATTTGTGGAGTAAAAGAAAAGGAAAGGGAAGCTGATTTTCCACCCTTTTTTTTAGCTGGGAAATGAGAATAACATGAACAGATATTTGTCAAAGCATCACTATTTTGTTTAGTTTGAGCTTCTCCAATGGTATGACGAAAGGCTTGTTCTCAAAAAATAGCATGGAACTCAAATTTGAGTTCTCCAATGGCTATCTAAACCTTGTGCTATCATTGCTAAACTTTGTGCAAATTTGGTGTGAGGTTTAGCTATAGCTAAAATTTGACAACCCCTAGGTTCCGTTTGGATAGATGTGGATTTCAAATCATGGGATTTGACCTTAATCATCGAAGGACAATAACTCAAATTTAGATATAATAGTTTATTTGTGAATTTCAAGATTGAGTTAGCTTTATCACGATGGTTTTGAAATAATTATATAAAACTAGTTATTTGAAATTATGCTAAGAATTTTCTTTTTAGCTACAAGGATCCTACTATAATATATATATATATATATATCTTCTATTTCAACTTATCTTCTTCCATTGTTTTTTTGATTTGAAATACATAAGGTAGTTTGTTTTGTGTGCGTTTGTTGTTTGGTTGCAGCTAGAGGCGGCTCACGATAGGGAGAAGGAACTACTTCAGGAAATAACTGATTTGCAATGGAGGTTTTTATAATCATAAACACACGACATTATACATCACAATGTTATAAAAAATCTCATAGTTTTTGAACATTGTTTTTCTTTTAAAATTTTCTTTTAATTTTTTATGCAAGCTAATATGTGCCCAAGAGGAGCTTAGAAATATAAAACTGACAATGCTCATGTTGATTTCTTACCCTATTCTTGTTTCATATAAATTATGGCATATTTGTTTTGTTTTTTGTTTTTTGGTTTTAATTTTTGCTGAACAAATTACAGACTACTATTATATCTCTGTTTCAGGTATGATCTTATTCCCCAACTGGCATTGAAGAAAAATATAGTCGATTCCACTACACTGACTAAAATGGAAAAAATAAAAGAAAAGAAAACAATAAGGTGATTTCAATGACCAACAGACTTTATTAAACATTTAGCGGTTATGTATGTTGTGTAGGAATGTTTCAAGCTTGCTGCATAGCTCCAATACGTGCAAACCCTTGGTAAAATTATTCTTGTACATGATTTTATTATTATCTTCTCACTTTGCTTGTATTATATTATTATCATTGGACCTTTTGTATTTAGCGTTCTGTCAAGTATATAGCAAGGACCTGTTTCTTTTAGTTTGTAAATAGATAAGTATATGTTTTCTTTTTCGTTCATGATTCTCCCTAGTATTCATTTTAATATATTCCAACATTTCATGTGTTAATGCTATTGAAGACGGCTATAATGTTTTGTATACGAGTTCTCAGAACTATGGGAGTAGCTTGCAGTCAACTTCTCATACTATTTTGTTAGGATATGAGTTAAAATTTTAAACTGTGTGTCAACGTGTATTACTTGAAGCTTCCAGAGATTACCGTGCCTAACCTATCCTGTTAAATTATTTGTGCTTGTTCGACAACCATTGTGTATTAATCAGTAATGCAGCGTTGAATTAGAAAAGGGAGCCCTTATAGAGATCCTCATTTTATGGAGCTGAAAGATGCACCAACAATCTGAGATCAATCTGGGCTTTTGATAATTTTTTTCACTACCTAGCTTTTTGATTTGATGTTGTCGATATGGGTTAGTGGTGGTGGTTGTGGGGTTGGCTCAAGGTACGAAATTACACCAATAAAGAAAAGAGGAGTGCAGGAGCATCACGATGAGCTAAATGATCCCAACTAGGTTGGCACCAAAAAACTCATCCTATCATTTGCTAGCACCCCAACGTTGGTGAGAAACCAACGAGAGAGACAGACCAAAAACCAAACCAAAGCTACAATGCTGCTAAACATCATCTGCTAGACACTACCAGGCAGAGAACCAACCAGGCTGCACAAACCAGCAGAGCTACCAGATCAGAATACACCACCCAAACAGATCAGAATCTGTTTTAGCCATCAGTCCACCCGTGGTAAACAAACCAGTAGCAAACAGATTGCAGGAGTAGAAAAATCAGAAGCAAACAAACCAGAAGCAAACAAACCAGTAGCAACAGCACAGCAGAAGTATAAAAATCTGTATGTATTATTATTATACTCATCCGAGAGAGAACAATATTTCTATTACTCAAGTGTAATACTTATTTGTTGTTATAAATGTATTGAATAAATGGACTTAACTCAAAGGTTTTGGTAATGTTTCTGAGTAATAAGATTTGGGGCATGACATTATCCTTAAAAAATTAAACCCAAACATGTAAGTAACTACCATTTTGTGTAATTTCCACATTAATGGGACTTTTGGGTTCATAAGAAAAAAAGGAGGACTAAACAGTTTACAAGATCACATTTTGGAATTTATTGGTGCGTTACCGATAATAAATATAGTTCAAATAATTAATGTTACCGACTGGCGAATGCGATACAAAAATTAGCTTCTTCTGATAAAAGTTTCTTCTTGCACAATTACAATTGTCACTTAGGTATAAGACTTCAAAATTAATTGAGAGAGTTAAGAGTTTAAGAGAGAGAATTGTTTGTGAGAAATAAAATAGGAGATGAGAGGTATTTATAGGAGTTTGGGAGGAGGGGGTTAATTTGTAATAACAAAAAAATAATTTGGTCTTTTGGTGTTAAATGGTCATTTGACCTTTTTAATTCTTTTTTTTTTTTTTGAGATGGCAGCACACACCGTCTCAAAAAAAAAAATTGAACTAGGGTTTTTTGCGACGGCACCTTTACCGTCGCAAAAGATAGGGAATTGGTTGAAACGTAAGGCCTTTAGCGACGGTGTTATTGCCGTCGCTAATAGTTCTTTAGCGATGCTCAGGTGCTGTCTCAAATAAACTTTTAGCAACGATATTTTTTGCCGTCGCAAAAGGCCTTTTTAGCGACGGCAATACAATGTCGTCTCAAAAAAAACTCAAATATTTACACGTTAATTGCGACAGAATTTTTCTGTCGCAAAAAAGGTGTTTTGTCGTCACAAAAAAACGGCGACGGCGTTAAGCCGTCGCTAAAATCCTTTTGCAACCCTCTTTGTTGCGACCCTCTACTTGCCGTCGTAAAAAGTCACTTACCGTCGCAAAAAATCTTTTGAGACGGCGTTTGGGGTATTTGCGACGACATTTTACCGTCGCAAAAAATTAATTTTTTTTGTAGTGAAATCACTAACAATTATTGAATCATGTGAATCTTAAAGTACAAGAATCTCATAGCATAATTTAATGGTCGTGTGTTTTGGCATAAAAAAATAGAAGAATATTTGGGACAAAAGATGTTGTGTAATGAACTAGGACTATTTGTGTTGATGTCTATCCCATGATGAATCTCGTTGGTGTGATCGTGTAGTAGAAAGGGACCATGCGATAAGAACAGAGAAGATTTAGAAAGAGAATCCCTTACACCACAATACATACAAACACTAAAATCGAGCTGCTGATTCTCTATTTTAATTTTTTTTTTTGTTCATCAGTTTCAAAATATTAATAATTATTGAATCATTACTACAATATATAAGAATTTTAAAAACTAAATTTTTTAGTCTTTAAAAGTGAAAATTTTGTTGCAAAAGACATTTAGGGACCGATTTCTATCATCATGAGGATAGTTGCTAAAAGATCGTCCCAAAAAGTCAAAAATAAGACTTTTAGTGACAAAATTTTGAAAATGTCACTAATAAATACACTTTTAGGGACAAAATAATTTAGTTTCAAAATAGTTTATTTTGTGAGATAAAAAATTTGTCTCAAAAAAATAATAATTCATCACTAATGTCTAATTTTCATTATTAAAAATATAATAACGACATTTTTTGCAACAAAAATATTTGATTCTTAAAAAATAATTTTATCCCTAAATTTTAGTTTATAAAATCTTAATATTTTGTAGTGCATGGGAGAATATCAAAATACGAAAATATTGCAACATAATCCAACAGTTGTGTGTTTTGGGACCAAAAAAAAAAAAAATTTTGTAACAAAAGATATTTTGCCTTGCAATTGGGACTATCTGCATTTTTGTCTATCCCTTTTGTCGGATCATACTAAGGCATCAATTAATCAGCCACACATAACATAACCTAAGCATATAATATTCTTGATCCAACTGAGCATAAATTTAACCGAAAACGGTTTGGAGTTAATCTAGTTCACATTTTTCTATCCGAAACGTTTGTTTTGTTGCTTACTCTAGAGGAATACAAAATAATTTACCAAAAATATATATATATATATATATAATAAAAAAGTTGAGCTTCTCAAATATTTTACCAAAAATATATATATATATATATAAAATAAAAAAGTTGGGCTTCCCTTTAGTCTGCTATTTGAGTCCATAGGATCCACCATGTGTCCTATTTTAATAATTTGAACCATTTATTTTATAGTGTCTTTTGTATATATTATTCACACAAAAAAATAAGTTAATATGATAATCGTAATAAATTTAATTTATTGCATTTGCCTATAAAAAGTTATAGACGACAAGTGTATTTTTTAAAATAGATCATCTATTGAATAGGTTATGTGTGTGTAGATTTCTGATCACACTGCCAAATTAATATTCAGCTGAAAAGCCACCGGCAGAATAGATTAAGCCCGAACGACCTGTCACAGAGAGAAGAGATTCTGACGGTGATTCGTCCACCCGGGGGTACTCCGACGATCAAGTCAGTTATCTCTCAAAGATAGCAAAAGTGCTTAACTAACTATTCAGAGCATGAAAAGCATACCTTAGACCCATGGGGATGCCTCTCTTTTATAGTCAATATAGTCCTAATCCCAGTAGAAGTCTAACTTCAATGGACTTAGGATTACTGCTAATCTTGTACTCCTAGTAGGATTGGGATAAACTCTTTAAGAGTCTTATCTTTATCCAAATTGAAGTCCTCTCTCATTTTAAGACTCTTGTCCCTTATCCGCTTATTCCGGATTCCGGTATTCTCGTAGATAACCTCGGCCTAGCCGAGATGATCTCGGCGTCATGACCAGGACACGTGGCACCTCGGCCACGTGTTGTCATTCAAAAATTATGTCCCCATAACTGCCCCCTAGGTTCTATTGCCTCGGCATCCTGAGGTGATGGTACCTATCATTCCTTCCTTTTAGCACATCGGCTAAGCTCACTTCATTATTCATTGCCGAAGTCAGAACTCGTGGGCTCAATATGACCAAGACCTATAGTCAATACTTTTAGAACCATTAACCAAGTTCATTCAAGTTTCTCAGCCGAGATCGTCCTCCTAGCCGAGGCATTGCTCTATTAAATCAAGAACTCCAAAAGCTCCTTTACGCGTATGAGCTGTCATGCATAACAACTCAACCATTCTTGCCATGCGTCTTTTCCCTTCTGGGCCATATCTGACCCGCGCCACTAGGTCGCATCGTTTTTGCGCGCGCCGTCTGACACGCATGTCATCCTAGGCACATTAATTGCCTTTTTGCGACCGTTTCGTGTTTTGACAAAACTTCTTCCCTCTCTCTTCGTTGCTTCACTCTTGCATCTTCATTCTCGTGCAAACTCTCTCTCTTCCCTCTCCTAAATCTGCCGTTGCTCCAAGCTTTTCAAGCTCTGCAACCACCGCCGTTCACCTCCTTCGGTGAGGCTCCTGCTGATCTTCTCCGTTTGCTCCCATCATCTGGCTCCGGCGTACTCAACACCGGCTTCATTTTGCTTCGGTGAGTGTAGACGTCCCCGAACGTCCCGGGAGAAAATCCCCCGTTTTGTTCATTTGGGCTCATTACAGTTCAGGACTCAAATGTCACGGTCTTGTATCTAATCTCGCAGAGTGCACTGCAAGACCGATGAATCATCAAAGAGTCCAAATCTGGCAAATCGTTTTTGAAAACAGATTTTTTGAAAGAAGTGCCAAACATGGACTGCTTTGCCAAATACAGAGTCGCCACCTAAATATTTTTTATGGAGGAATTTAGGAAACCCTGACTTG